TGCCACCTATAGCAACTGTGTGCTTTTAACCAGGTCAAGTTATATACAGATACTTGCCAAGTATCCCCCCTGAAAGCTGAGACCAGTAATAAACAGAAAAGCTTTTAAAAAATTTCATTACTTCTTTACTTCTAGGCTTCTGCTTGTAAATTCAGTCTTCAGCAATTTCCAGTTGGCTTTCTTCCCCACTGCTCAGAGACTCTTCATCCATCCTGCAGCTATTTGTTTTTGTTTCCTGACTAAACCTCTTCCTCTCACTTCCTCTCTAGCTCCTGTGGATTCTAAACCACATGGTTGAGTACAGAATAACTGGAAATGAACTCCCCAGTTTAGGATTTATGCCTTATTTTTTATGTATTTGTAAACAGGACTATTACAATTTACTTTCTTGTCCTTTTTTCTGTATCTTTACTTTCTCTGGAATTAAATTGTGGTAGTATACAAACTAATTATCTAACGTAAGGGCTCTTGGGTAGTCCAAGCTCCTTCAGAGCAGCACTTATTCTTGAGTTGGTGTGTACTTTATTGTTATCACATACTACAGGATGGAGAATCTTTATAAATCATATGGATTAACAAATAATTTAAGAAACTGCTGGTTTAGGTACTCTTTAAAGTCAATGTACAGTATCATGTTGTAGTTTAACAAGAAGGAAGTAAATCCCCGTGTAAGTTAGCTTTAGCTGTAACTTATATATCAGAAGGGGTTAATTTGTCCAAATTATGAATTAATAGCAAAAGGAGTGTTTGGATCCATTCTAGAAACATCATAAAGTGTGTGGCTTATGTGATTCTGATTCTGTGATTAGACAAATTTGTGGGCAAAACAAAATATGATGGCAAAACATTCCTGTACTTTCTTGTAATTGTTAGTTTGTTCTGCCCTTTTTCTACCACAACAGACATGAACAGAGGAGAAGAAACAAAGTTCAGAAACTGTGTTTTATAAAAAGCCCAAACAAACAAACAAAACAAAACCAAAAACCAAAAATGGAAGGCAAGTCTTCATCAGTGTCTTCTTTACAGTGAGTTTGTGAAGTGATACGTGATACTCATCAGATACTCAGTATTTGGCTACCAGATTGATCTGAATCTGAAGATACAGTTATCTAATCTACTTTCATTATTGGTATCTTGGCCATGCACGGTTCTAACTCTCTTCAAGGTTCAGAAAAGTGCTTTTGTTTGTAGGGAGGCTGACATCAATCCTGAAGCATTGAAAACAAGAGAGATTTTATCAATAACTGGATGACAGGAGTGTGATTAGTTCCACTGATGCAAACCTTACTTAAAAAAAAAAACAAACAACCCTAAATTACAAACCTGGTTGATAAAGTTCATTAAATGTTTTTAAGACTACGAATGTGTTATTAAGAGATCATAGTTTGGTAAAAATTATCATGTATCAGTAGTCATAAATCATACATTAAATTTACTCAGATTTTGATAAAAATTAGTCCTTAAAATAACTGTCACTAAATGGATAGATTGTTATCACACAGAAACACTCTTAGTGAAATTAATAAGCCTGAATATTTTAAAGTAATTTGAAATTTCAGTATTTCTTTTTTTTCCCTCAGTTATCTGAAAGTAAGCTAAAATCATTAGTGAGAAAAATCTGCTGGGTAATGGCATTCATACATAATGGTGCAGATCTTTTCATAACTTTGTTATGAAAATGTACATTTGCAGACATTAAAAACTCATGCTTAAAAAAGGAGGGGTATATATCTGCAAAATATAACTGTGTTCTAGCCAGTGACTTTGAAAAGAGTTTAGAGGTCAAATAACTGTAATGCCAGAGTAAAAATGGCTAATGCTGTATGGGTACACCTTTCTGCTCTTTTGCACTGAAACAGTTCAGTGGCTACACTTTTGTAAGTGTCCAATGGAATCACAGTAAGCGATCCAAATCACTTCAGTTTTGGATTGTTTCGTAGCCTGAAAAACTTGGATTCATTTCTAAGGTGTGTGGAATCTTTGAATTACCTCTTACAAACTTATGAGCCATACAGAAAAACAGCACCCCACTTCCCCTGCTGCCCATTTCCCCTTTTCTCTCCCATTATGAGAGAGACACGCCATTTGAGAACCTGTCAGAATAATGTGTACAATTCTAGTTGCCTGTGTTCAAGAAAGGTTTGCACAGAAGAGAACTGGTGCACCAGAATGCATGGAATTGCTGGTTGTGAGAACAGACATCTCTTCTGAGCAGAAACTAAGAGCAGGGAACAGTTGTGGTCAAGAGGGATTTACTGAGGAGGTTGAAGGTGGCTGCAACTTCCCCTTCCCACCTTTAGCATTGCTTGTTGAAGGACATGCTCCTAGACACGTGATGGGGGAACAGCTATGCAGCTCTTCCATAGTTGCTTTATTTAAGTGAAGCAGGAAGAAAAACCCAGACAAGGAGAGACTGATTTAGATTAAAAGGCAGCATTTGTGCAAGAACAAATGTCCGTGAACATGTTCCAAGTTCATACACATGACTTGTCAGCTTTAAACCTTGTCAGAGCAAGGTTTTAGAGCAATTTGATGAAAGGGTTTGTATGATATACTTGCTTATGATAATAAGGTATTGGACTTAATGTCCTGGGGATCTCCTGAAGCACAAGGTTTTGATGAAAGCTTGCATCTATGAGAAGTTGTTTCAAATTTTTTATAACTGATTACAATCAAAGTTTATTCCCTTGCCTCTTAGAATTCTGTAGGAGTCTGTTTGTTAAGGCTCTGCTTTTTCCTCTATGGATTCTTACGGAGACCTGTAAGGATTGTGGAAATTGCTAATTTATTTTTCTTGAAGTTTTTAAGAAAACTATTGGAAGTGAAAGGAACATGCTCTGTAGTAGAAGTGTTCAAGTCCATGACTGTACCATTTTTGTAGTAACTTTTGTTACAGCTATAATAGGCAATAGCTTAAAAGAAGCAGATAAAGTCTGGGTTGGGTTCTGAATGCCACTCTCCTTATCCTGAAAGAACACATGGGGGAAGATGCCTTTCCCCCCCCCCCCCCCCCCCCCAAAGTCCTCTAAACTCTGACAGGCTGCCAATGCTGAGCTCTATCTGTTCTTAAGTATTTGTTAATTATGTGGGTTTTGGAGGTTTTAGAAAATCAAGTTTTCCCCCTCCATTAACTGGAAATTCAAGAAAGCATCCTCCTTCAAGAAAATACTTAAGCACATGCTTATTCACCATTCAGATGTTAAAATGCAGGTGAATCGCTATGCCTGTGAGATAGTCAACTGTAGATCTTGCTTGAAAGCCATGTAGTTGCTATGTTCAATTAAAATGAAGTTTTGCTTCATTTGGAGGGGAAAGAGAGCAACCTTTCACATACATTTTTATAAAATACATACATATACACACAGAATTTTATTGAATGGCTTTTTGTCTTCTGTCAGCTAATTTTGACCTAGATGTACTTTTCTTTGTAGATTAAAAAGAGAAACTACATCCTTTGGTGTCAGGCAAACTCATGCATGCTTTATCAGGGGCAGCTGATGAAGGAAGTGCTTTCCTGTAGCACCTGTTTCTCAGCTGATAAATTCTTCTTGATGCAGGTGGTAACAAGTTGTATATTTTTAAGGTTTGTCAGGATTCTCATCTGTTAGGATTTTAAGTTCAGAACTGTGGGAAATGGTTCTATGATGGTTTAGGGTTTCTTAGTGCATCTTAGTTGATGGTTCTTTTAATAGCTATAATGTTAAATCAGATAACTTGATTAATCTGTCAGAATTGGAAATGTGTTCTAAAAAGGGTATAGGTTATTAAAAATTTCTGATGCAATAAACATTTACTCCTTTAAATGTTCTGCAATTAATGCTAGATGGTTTTATTTTAATGTGCCAGGAAATATAAGTACAGAAATAGCTACTGGAATTTGATGGCTCACTAACACACAAACTTACTGAATGGGTTAAAGCAGTTGAGCTTGATCCCAAATATTGTGAGTATCTGTCTATGATGGTATTCATGTATGATGGAATTGATTACGTTAATGTTTAGCAGATTCTGATAGCACATTTTGACATGTTTTCTAAAAAAATATGTATTGTCTGCACTGTGTTAGGAAACTGGGTACTTGTAGATACTATTAATATTTTTCATGCAAGTTCTTTTGGCCACATGATTACAAATAGTGAAGACTGAGTTAAGGCTAATTATGTTTTTTAAAAGTTTAATAGATGAAATAATGGGAAGAAAATTAAGTAGTTATAGTTATTTAAAAGCCCAGTGCAGAACTGTTGCCTGAGATTAGGATTTGTACCAGAATAATAAAACCAAATAGAGAAACTTGTATCTTTTGCTGCAGTTATGTGAAGATCACTTCTGTAACTGGAATAAAGGACTTGTCTTTTCCAAGATGCATAGAAATCTTGTCCATACTCAGTAACTCTGGCATGTTCTGGACACATTAGGGTTATTGCATGTGCCTAGATTAAGGCTAGAGAATTCAGGCTGTAATTCTGATGTGTGGGTTGTGTGTTGAATTTATGCTGCATATCCTGTATGGCTCATCTACTTGTGCTCCATACATCTGGCCCATCTACTAACTTTAACAGGGATAGTAGGTATCTGATAATCCAGTGAAAAGAGAAAAATTAAGTGAAATGATTTTGCAGAAAAAAACTTTAATTTACTGTACTAGAAAATGGCAGATGGTAATTTCTAAGATTATTTTATTTATGCAGAGAAAAAATATTTATGGATGTTTTAAAGTACAACAGAGGAAGGAGGATGAGCAATAACATAATTATTTTACTTCCAAAAATTCACTCCAGTAAAAAAATACGGATTTGTTTACAGCCAAAAGATACTGCAGTTTTGGCCTGATAAGTAGTTTCTTCTCAAATAAGCCACAAACTAGGTTAATCTGTTGGTGCTAGTCAGAAAGATTTATTGTCAGAGCCTTGAGGAAATTTATGCAAAGACCATAAAGGTTAAGAAAAAAAAGAAAAAAAAGTTTTTTTTGAAACCAGCCTTGCTCTTGCATTCTCTCTCAGCATGCAGGATCCAAGGAACCAACCATTCCAAAATACTTTTGACTTGAACAGCTGCAAGAAGAATTTAACTGTTACTGAAGAAGGTATTAGCAGTATAAATGCTTCCAGCTGTTGCAGTTTACAACTTTAAGTAGTTTAACTTCTCTTATTTTGAAGTAGCTCTGTTTATAGAGGGATACCACATTAAATATTTCAGGAATTTAGTATTTAGTCTTTGTTTTAACTTATATGTGACAAATTATACTGACTTTAATCTCTGACTTTTTTTATCTTTTCTGAATTCAGTTTTCCTGTTCTTTTATATGTTTATATAGCAAGGAATTTAGTTCACTATCAACTTAGGTGCTACCTTCTTTATTTCCTACTTTGAAGAGATTTGGATAAACTGAAATTAGAAGCATCTTACGTATATTAGTTAACAGTACAAATTATGTGATCCAAATCCAATGAGAAATTTATTATAACTTGCAAAATTCTACTCACAGGTATTAAGGCTAGATACTGTAATACTTTAAACAAAATAAACCATTTCCCCCTTAGGTGTCCTTAAAGCGAAGCTCTGGGGAAAAAATTTACAATGTAATTGAAAAGTAACATTTTTATTAGATACTGCATCTACCATGCTGATTTTTGTAGACTAGAAGACTTCTCATGCATTCCTTATGGACAGGACTGTATATCCCATGAGACACTGTGAGCCCTTGTGCTGAGCTGCCACAGTTTATCATGACAGATGACGCAAGGGTTAGCAAAGGCAGTGGCACTGAAGAAGTATGGACATCGTTCCATTTAAACTGTTTCTGGTTTGGGGAAAAAACTGTGTTTTCTTTAAATGTTGAACTTTTCAGTTGCAATTAGAAATTTATGAAGAAACCTGACATTTCTCTGAAATAATTTTGTTGTTGAAATTCTGGCTTGACTTTCTTCAACAAACCAACTGATAGGAACTTCTGTCTTTTCCTTCATTAAGAAGCCTTATAGCTCCTCTTTCAGTTAGTCCTTTAAAGAATTTGATATCATGATGAAATGTTGCACCCCTAGAAGAGTTGCCCTAAAAATTAGTTATTCAGAATGTTTTATTTCTGTCATGTGCATCCAGTTTAAATTTATCAACATTCAACTTCCTGGAATTGTTTCTTGGTATGCCTGTATCTCCTTCTTTAGGACTACATACTAAATATGTTCCTGTTATGCAGATAGTGATAGGCTATCAGTAACACTGCCTGTATTTATAATGTTAAATTGACTTCAGCCTGTCTAGAATGAAAATTTTCTTGTCAGTTTTTATTACAACTCTTCTAAAGCTTTCTATCTAAATTAATAAGGTTTTTTAAAATAATTTTTTTTCATAGCACTCTGTCTTTATGCCAAAATTAGCAATGAAATTATTGATTCTTAAATGCTTTCATGTAGAGGATGAGTTTATTCTGTGAGTTATTAGCTTTTGAGGTCTATTTTGTAAAGATTTTTCTGTAGTTCCCTGCCAGTTTTTGTGTTTTTCTTTATTATTGCTGTAGGGTTGGAAAAAATTGTGTAGGTTCCTAAATCATACAATGAACTCAGACAGAAATAAGGCCTGTGATAACAAGTGATATAAACAACTGACACAAATATTGATAATGAAGTGTAAACAACTGACATAAAATATATTGATAATACGAGGTACCTGTTTCTCAATTCTCAAAGCCTTTGTAGCATGGTGACCTTTTGAAAAATCATTTCCTGAGTAATTTTTTCCAGTTATTATCATTATAGGCATTATGAAATTATTTTAGACTACTCTTGTAAGCATATGTACCCACATAGGTGCTGCACTATCAGTGACAGTTGTGCACAGGGCTTTTCATTGGGTGCTTACTTGAGTAGATGTAGATTTAAAATACTCTAATAATTCCAAAGAAATGCATGATTGCACATGCAGATGCCAGAAGCAGCAGCTAGCTGAGTCACCTACTCATTTGTTGAATATCTTATGAGTAAACTGCCAGGTAAAAGAGGTAGCTGAAATGTTTCAGTAGGTGGCAGAAAAACACTAGTGTTGCAATGAAGAAAAATGTTGCTTTACCTATGTAACCAGAACCTGACATCTCTGCCTTTGTATTTTAGTTTTGATCTTCTTTCTCTTTGAGCTGTAGATCCCTTGTCCAGACTTACATCTTGATGTTTTTCTGTCTTGACAACAACCTTTTCCTCTACTGCTGTATTACTGTTCTCCAGTTAGTTCAAAATCTGCCATCAGAGGAAACTTTTCAAGTGCTTTGATGCAAAGTAGACAGCTTCTCTTTCCTGGTGCTCAGAGAAGATTTATAGCTGGTGAAATGCGGAAGTGTTGACACCACATGTGAGAACCCTTCATGTGGTACAGATGTTCCTCTCGGACACTGTGACTATAATTTGGAGGAGTTATTTTGCTGGTTTGTATGTTGGGTTTGTTTGTTTGTTTTGATGGTGTTTTTTTATTTATTTACTAGATGTCATTTTTGTATCAGTTTAAAAAGATGAACTCTGAGTTTAGGACTCTCGAGTCTTTGATCTGCAAAGCACCTTCTTGCATCCAACAGTGTTTATTAGTTCAAAGTGCAAAGCTGTATGAAGATGATGCATCTGACTTCCAAGGGCTTTGGAAATGATTCAACTGCATCAACATTGTGCTGCATTTTGAGCTGAGAAAACTGGCTAGATCCAAACTAGCATATGAGGAAGCAGTTTTGGTATCTATACCTGCAGCACTGTTAGTTGTTACTTTTTCTATCTGCCAACAAATAGTTTTAATTTTGTGTTTTCAATTCTATCATCTTTGCATTTTGATAGGACATGTTTTAAGTGTTGCAATGGCTACTCATATGAGAAAGAATTGTGTTGGCTAAGTTACAATTCTGTTCTCAGCTCCTCTGGAGAAATTGAAAGTAATACAAAATAAATAGAAAGTGATCCTATAGTGTTTACAAAAATCTGTAGGAGGTTTGGTTGTTATAAAAGCAGGGTGATGAGATTTTAAATTTTCAGAGTAATGATATTCTACAGTGTCCAGTAGTACATTGTAACAACTGCAGTGGGTATTTATTGTTTGTGAGTACTCTTTGTGTCTTTTTATGCCTTAGAGCTGATGTGAAAACAGACCTCCACTTTGTTACTGTGATTCCAAAATAGCCTTTTCCCAAAACTTTTTAAGGAAACACTTCTTTTGTCCATTTTGTGACAAAGGTGGGGTCATGTTTCTCTCATGCTGAGGAGAGCATGAAGGCCCGAAGGAGGAATTGAAATGAAGCTTGTCTGAGCAACACAAAGAGTTCAGCAAATAGAAGGTTCAGTCACAGTACTTGAACTATTCAAGCTCCAAGCTTCTTCATTCAGACATAGCTGATGTCTATCATGAGAATGTACACTATAGGAAGTTTGGGAGAAAAGAGTGAATTAAGGGGTATTTGGAATGTAGCTCTGTTTGCAGTAAAATATTTCATTGGCTTGTTTACAGATTCCTTTTATTTAAATTACCTTTGTTAATTTGAATAGGATCATGGAAAGTGAATTGCAGAATACTGGAGGTCTTGACATCATAGAACAGAATCGAGACTCTTAGGGACATTAAGTCCAACTGTAAAGCTAGCACTACCAAGTTAATTTAATTTTACAAGTTCCTTAGATTTTAATGTTTAAATGCACATTCGAAGATTTCTGTTCCATTTCTCTGAAACTAGAAGACTAGCAAAAGACTGTTTCCCAAGATGATTTGTTACAGGATGTGTCATCCTGGGCAGAGTCTGCTACTGTTCTTTTCTTGGTGTCCTTTTTCAGAATTTTGTGAGTAGAACCCTTTGAGGAAGATGTAAACAATTATTATTTCTTTTTATTTCATATGATATACTTTGAATCAATTGGATTTAGTACCTTAAATACCATCTCTTATACTATGATAAAGTGATTTTATGTAATACTGACCTATGCACAAAAATACATAGTTGTAGAGCATTTCATGTGACTATACTACAAAATTTACTTGGACACAGCTTCAATAAGGCACTTATTTCCTATAGAAGTGTGTGATGGACATAATTTTAAAGATAATACATTTTTAACTTGTTGCAACAACCAAACTTCAACTATCACCCACTGAAAATAGTTTAAAATAAAATTTAAATAATAGAAATTGAATATCAGGTTTTAAGAATTGCAAAATAGGATGGATTAGTGCCCTGGAGCACCCAATGCTATTTACCTACATGATTTTCTTCTGTAATTGGGCTTTGAAGTTACATATCAAAGTAATTGGCATGTTCTAGTTTATAGGATGCTAAAAAGAAAGAGTTCTTCAAAGAGCATGTATTTTAAAAAGAAATGTAAAGCACAATTTCCAAGCAGAAGAAATAATAATTTGTGGTTTCAACAATGAAGAAAGAGGAGTTTTAGTAATGAAATACATTAAAGGTGCTGAATCCGCCACAAGAGGTAGTGGATGTTTATTCTAACTTAAGTAAGTACGAGTTTATTTTTTAGCATCCAATTAAGAAAAACCCCAGAACTTGTGAAATTAGTCTTGACTCACGATTTAACACTGTAATTGATAACTTGTTGGTGCTGGCTATAGAAGGTAATCAGTAGAGTGTAATTTTTATCATAATTCCTGTAGATGGTTTTTAAATAAGGTGGATTGCGCTTCATTCACTACTATTTATTACGTGCATGCTTTATTTACATATATTTTATTTTTTGTAGTTCTTGTTTTCTTGACTTGTATCTTTAATACCTTATGGATCAAAAACACTGGATGAAAATTAGGTTGATATTTAGAGCACATAAGAAGTAAAAATTGTGTAATAAAGGTAAATGAGGTGGGAGATTACTGACACAATCTGGTTTAAGTTCATTTAAATTCTTGCAAAGTAATTATTTGCTTTACAGAGAGGGAAAAAAGTAAAATCCTTAATTGCTAGCTAAATGCACAGTGCATGATTTGCTCTGATAGTCAAACCTGTGTATGGAAATAAACATATAATGCAGTTCCTGGAGAGTTTTCAAGCTGAATTACGCAAATCCTAGCAACTCTTTCCTCAAAGAGCTCTGCAGAAAGTGCATGGGGCAGAGGAAGAAGGAGATTCTGTTAAAAAAAACAGTATTTTGTATCTAGGAGAGGAAGAGTGTTACAGAGAGGGGACAGAATTTCTGGCAAACAGCTTATTCCTTATGCATATAGTATTACATCAGT